CTTCTTAATGATTACAAAAATTGTAACTTTACAGAATAATGATTAAAACTGAAATAAAAACATGCAAATTAAAACAATGCTGATTAGGATTTATAAAAAATTTTCAAATGTGAAACAATTAAAATCATGAACGAATTTCAGTTTTAAAATTGTCTGTCTGTAACCTACTTTTCTATAAGTATTATTTGAATTTTAAATCTCTTTTTTGTATCAAATTTATTTACTTTCTTGTATTTAGTTTATTTGTTTCTTATTTATAATTTACTTGTAATTTGCTTTTCTGTTTGTTTGTTTCCTAATTCATAATTGAGTTGTTGCTGTATTGTAAGAATAATAATCATTAAATATTTACGATATTGTAACTTTACAGAATAATTACTAAAATTAAGATAAAATGATGCAAATTAAAACAATACTGATTATGATTTTAAAAATGTTTTCAGATTTGAAACAAATAAAATAATGAACGAATTTCAGTCTTTAAAATTTAATGAAATGTAACATGATGTTTAATTTCTTTTTACTTTAACAAAACATTCAGCAACAACATTTTTTTTTTCTTATCGGTTGTTTTTTTTAAATTAATATGAAATAAATTTCTGTATAAAATCCAATTCTGTTTCTTTCTTTTATAAACGTATTTTTAAAAAGTTTTCTAAAACCAATTTTTTTCTTACAATTTTTCGTTACATTATGATTACTGTCTGTTTCACTGCATGGACTACATTTGTGACGTCAGGTCACTATCGAGCAGGCTTTCTCTATCGGTGGTCACGGTCCAGCCCTCCACAAAAAACTGTACATATGGGGATTAGGTAGAATTTCTTTAAGTGAATGTGACATTGTTGTGTGTGTGTATGACAGTATTGTGTGGATGAGATGTGTAAGGAACAATGTTTGGACGATAGGGTAAATAAATGAGGCTAGCTAAGTTAGAGATAATATAGGTGAAGACCAGCCTCCACCCAATCCCAATTTTTCCCACGTGACATATTTGTACAATAAATAGCTCCGGAATAACTATGGGGGTCGGAGAAGATTCATGCCATTTTCAAAGGAACAAAATGTTGCTGCTGTCGGAGTTAACTCCTCCTTTCACTCCGTTAACCCTTTCACCGGGGGTCTCTCTTTCCTGGCTATAAATAGCCAATGACCCTTCGCCTCTATCTCTTTTTTCCTTCAGGCCTGTGCACTGACACCTTGAGGTAAACTCTCTTATTCCTAGAGGATTTTCAGCTATCAACCTCGAAATGTAGTCGCTAACAAGGGATAGCGTGGAAACACGCTAAGCACAATATACACACACGCACCCACATACAGAATATTCACACACGCACGCACATACAGAATATTCACACACACTTCGTCCTTTGTACTGTTTCCATGTATTGTAACTTGTTATTAATATATATTTGTATATACATATATTATCGGTCTTGTTTTGTTTGCTTTCTTTACCTTCTACTTGATTATTTCTCTTGTTGTTGTCTTTGTTACATTTGATATTGTAAAAATTGTAGAGGGTCAGTTTTATTTCTATTTATAACCAATACGAATTGGCTGACCCACTATACTGCTACGTGTCGCCTATTGAGGAAAGGAAGTTATTTTTTCTTTACAACAGATGCAAGCCACCTTACGTAATTGTTCACTACAAATATGTATTCTTTGTAAGGTATCAGTTTATAGATCAGATTTCATTGATGTATTTTTGTAAAGAGGGTTTTTGTCGAGAGTCTAGATTCATTGATGTATTCTTTTTAGATATACAGTTTGTAAAGAAATTGATTTTATTGACACTCATTTGACACTCGGTTAATACATGTTTAATAGTGTATGCCATTTCACATGCTTGGTATACTGGTTGATCTTCGTTGTTTAGCAAGTACTAGTGGGTTATTAGGACGGAAAAATTAAGGAATGTTTTTGTTTGCTCTGTGTGATGATGGTAACAGCTAGCTCTATTGCGTAAGCCTCCGCAGGGGGGAATAGTTCTTCCCTTTAGGAAGCTTTTTTTGTAATATTTTGGCTTATTGCTGCATATCCTGTCTTTTCCTGGTAGACTGACCTCTACATGTTTAATAGAGGATGCTGTTTCACATGCTTGGTAGACTGGTTGATCTTCGTTGTTTAGAAAGTACGAGTGGGTTATTAGGACGGAAAAATTAAGGAATGTTTTTGTTTGCACTGTGTGATGATGGTAACAGCTAGCTCTATTGCGTAAGCCTCCACAGGGGGAAATAGTTCTTCCCTTTAGGAAGCTCTTTTTTGTAATATTTTGGCTTATTGCTGCATATCCTGTCTTTTCCTGGTAGACTGACTCTGTTTAATAGAGTATGCTGTTTCACATGCTTGGTAGACTGGTTGATCTTCGTGGTTCAGTAAGTACGAATGGATTATTCTCGTGTGGCCAATGCGTAAGCGGGCTAGTACTACTTCTTCCTTTTGAGATTTTCTAAAACCCGTCTTCCATTCACCTAAAATGGCTGAATTGCAAAGAGCTTATTGTGTGGGTTATCGTCCCAGCACCGTTGCCATTCCTTTTGAATGTATTTGTTAATGACCTCATTAAAGTCGGATGCATGGCATTTTGGTCCTCGTATCTATATCTGTATCTAAAGCTGATTTGGCTGCTAAGTTTTCTTTCTTACCTTCCAATCCGATGTGGCTAGGAATCCAACATAGTTTCATGTCTTTATGTTTGCAAGTAGTGATCATTTTACATAATAGTTTCATAATGAGTGGATTGTTGGATTTTTTTTCCTTCAAATCCATTAGACAGATAGTGAGTCCGAAAAAATTCAGAATTTTTTTTTTTTTTTTTTTGCTCCCTGTGATGATGTTGACAGCCATTGCATAAGCCTCCGCAGTGAAAATAGAGCTTCCCTTTGGGAGGCGCTTTCTTTTGTAATAATTTGTCTCACTGCTACACATCCTGTCTTTTCCTCACACTTTGACCCGTCTGTATTGATGGGTGTATAGACTCCCTTAGAAATGTTCAGTCTTTCATGATGGAAGGTTTTTATTTTGAGGTTATGAAAAGTCTTCATCTTGATTAAACCTTCGGTGTGTTTCCTATTTTCTACTTCTACTAGCAAATTGCCGTTTCTCAATATCTTAACTGTTTGGGAATTAATCCAACTAGATAGCACTTTTTTCAATTAAGAAAGGGGAAAGTTTTGCTAGAGGAATTTTAATTTAGGAACACGAACACGAGAAATCTAGAAAAGTCAATACTTATTTCTTTTTCAGAATCAGAGTCTTAAAGATATCGTTTCTGTGGTGAACAGCCCCGTAGAAGCAAGCGAGCCCGAGTGGCTTGCATCTGGTGTATAGGAAAATAAGGGTCTTACTTTAACGTGCGGCACGTGACATCAGCAAGTTTGCTTCGTGAAAATGGCATTGCTCTCCCGTCCAGCCATTCTAGCAGTATGTGCAGTGATGAGAGTTTTTTGTACAGTTTGGCATGCTTCCACCAATAGCAAGTCGTGTGCTGATTGGTCGAACTGGAGAAGGCAATTTGCCTGTGTAACCGAGAATAACAGCGAAGAATGCTGATTGGCTGGTGAACCGCGGTGTTGGCTTGTTAAAAGAGTGCTGGAGCAGTGAAAAAGGGGATAGAAACGTTGGCTATATGTAGTGACATGTGAAGAAAGCGAGAACGGTGAATTGAGCCAGCGATATTGTGATTTGTACAAATGACGTTGCAGCAACACAGTTTCTTTTGTTTTGGTTACTCCTTAATTTTGATGTAGTAAAATTTGCTGTCTATGCTCCCCACCCACCTCGGAGCCCGACATTGAGACGTGTCAAGGGAGAAAACCAGTCGCCTTGACACAAACCAGTATACTCGTATTCGAGAGAGACTCTGGGCATACGTTTTACCATTTGTTGCACTTCACAAATCTTAAGTGTAGAAACTGGTATGTTTACAGTGTTTGTCTAAGTCTAGATCTCTTCGAAACTGGTTGACCCTCGGCCATCGCCTTCTAACGCCTATAAATTGGATAGAGATGGTATTTTATCCCGGTGAATATTTGCAGTATTGTGTTTTGTTATAAATTACTCCATAAATTTATATAGTTATAGGCGTTTGTCCATAAATTGATATAGTTATAGGCGTTTGTTATAGGCGCTCATGACCAGCTGATTGATCGGAACGGATCGGGCTCTCCGACCGCCTGTCTAGTCCAAGTAAGGGCCAAAAAGGTGTGCTGGGAATCAAAAGTATCTAACCCTGACTCAATCTCGTCACCAGACATTACGAGTCGCTACCAACAGGTGGCCTCACTGGGCGTGGTGGTGGTGGTGGTGGAGGGTCTACCCTTCTGCAGAGGTGCAGTCAGCCTAAATCCCCAGCCGACAGAGCGAGTTTGGTGGTCAGTGAAACACGGCAAAGCCTTCTTCATGTACTTAAAGCTATTTTCATATAACTCGTGCAGTCTTTAGGGTAAATTGTCCTGATGAATCATGCCACTGACATCGTAAAAGCGTGTTGCCATTAATAGATGTATCTGCTTTTCAATGGTGTTATGGTAAAACTATAATTCGGTCTGAATTGGTTTGTTGTTTACCTACAGTGCATCCTGGTGCTGTCACTTGCCCAAAATAACGCAAACGTACCTTGTCGTCCAGGAGAAGAGGTGAGTTTCATTGGATCAAGCAAAGGGCATAGAAAAACATTTGGTAACTCCCATACATCTCAGATATATTTCACTTCGGCAAAAGTTTAAATGAAAGCAAACAGACGTTTAGTTGTTGCTTGATTCATTTTCGACAGCTTATCAACTTTTTAAGGTTATTTAAAGCCAGAAAATGTTTTTATGCTGTAAGATTTGGGTGGGGAGAGATAATAACGGTTTAATGATGCAAGTCTTACTAATTAACCCATAGCTGAGGGAGAAGAGGGAATTTGAGGGTAAGTGAATATAACGAACCCAACTGGAATTAAAACTTGGCTCTCTGATTAACAATTCCATTAAACCACCCGTACATTCAAACTTACAACACCTGGTATTCCCAAGCGGTTACTCATCTAGGTACTGACCAACCTCAACGTTGCGTAACTTCGGTGATCGTACGGGAACCAGTGTTTGAACGTGATGTGGGCGTAAGCTCTTAATATCACCTGCACATCTAAGTTTACAGAATCTGGTATTCACAAGCGGACACCCATCTAGGTACTGACCAAGTTCGACGTTGCTTAACTTCGGCGACGAGAACGGGTATTTCAACGTGATGTGGAATTAAGCCCTTTGTATTACCTACACATCCAAGCTTAAAGAACCTGGTATTCCCAAGTCGTCACCCATCTAGTTACTGACCAGGTTCGACGTTGCTTAACTTCGGTGATCGTACGAGAACCGATTTTTTAACGTGAGGTGGCTAAAATTCTTTTATATCACCCGCACATCCAAGCTTACAGAATCTGTATTCCCAAACGGTTAACCATCTTGGTACTGACAAGTTTTGACGTTGCTTAACTTCAGTGATCATACGGGAATCAATGCTTTAACGTAATGTGGCCGCAAACTCTTTATATCACTCGCGCATCCATGCTTACAGCACCTGGCATTCTCAAGTGGACACCCATCTAGTTACTGACCAGGTTCGACGTTGCTTAACTTCGATGATCGTACGGGAAAATAATGTTTCAACGTGATGTGGCCGAAATTCCTTTATATCACCCGCACATCCAAGATTACAACACCCGGTATTCCCAAGCGGACACCCATCTAGGTATTGACTAGTTTTGACGTTGCTTAACTTCGGGAACGGGTGTTTCAGCTTGATGTGGTTGTAAGCCAAATTTAGAGGGGCTGGCTGTCTACAAACTATCCGGATTTTATTTTTATTGAGGGATCGTCCTTGAAAATAGAACTATTAAAGTTGCTTCATAGCGAGCCATTGACTGACAATAAAGCCACCGCCATTCACAGTACAGAGGAGAACACATTGGTGACTTTGGACGAGCGAGATTTGGCTCAGAAGACTGAGGATTAACAAATTCGGTTTTGCCCTCTTTATTTTTTAGTGAGAAATATTATTGTTGTTGCTAGCTTTGGTTTAGAAAAAGGTGTTGCGCTTCTGTTTCGTTTGTTGTTACATGAGAACAATACAGTCGAGGAATGTCCAGCCATTTGTATGAAAAGCAGCAGGCCTATGAGTTTCTATTGAAATTGAAACTCACGCTTTCCGACCAAGTCTTTTCATTTACTGTTCGATGGATTGACCACAGATCAGTGAGACCTACGATCGCCGAAAACTGTCTTTCATTTAGGCTTTTCGTTTCCTTTGGCATCGACTACGGCCAGTGAACAAGACAATCTACTGCCAGGAAAATATGCTCACAGACGGCCTTCCGAGTTATTGTAGTTTCATGGTCCTATCGCGTTGAAACGCCAATTCTCGTACGATCACCGAAGTTAGGCAACGTCGAGCCTGGTCAGTACCTAGATGGGTGACCGCATTGGAATACCAGGCGCTGCAAGCTTGAATGTACGGATGGTGTAATGGATAATGGCTCAGAAATCGAAGAACCAAATTCCAATTCTAGTTGAGTTTCTTATATTCACTACTAGCAGCATGGCCCGGCGTTGCCCATGCTTGATTCAAAAATCGTACGACTCATACAGCAATCGCTATCACTTGACTTAAAATATTTTTGCCCTTCCTTGCCTTTAAAGGAGTGCCCTTTGCCATGCTGATGTTGCTACATGCCTTACTTCTTGCCTATCTCACACTGCGAACTTTTTCTAAGCTCTATACTAAACATTAAATCTGTTACGAAAAAAGAACTAAACAAAATGAACACAAGACGATCAGCTTTAAAAAAAGGACTCGTAAATGGAAAAACCGAATGAAAAAAGAATGTTAACAACAAATACTTTTTCACGCCAAACCCAGTTCTGCGGAATCAGAATCAACGTTGAGTTTAAGCAAGCGAATGAGCCAATTGGAGTAAAGTGCCATGCAGATTTAAATTTTTCCCCACTGATGACGAATGCAGCTATCGATTTTTTGCATGCTAGTTAACATTCGTGTCAGTCAGCTGTTGGCTCTCATGCTGGCCAATAGAATCTTCCTGCCTATTCGTGGCAGCCAGCTATAGGCTCTCACTCTGGCCAGTACAAAATGGCCGCAAACTACATGAAAACTGCCGTAGAAGCATGAAAAAATCGATTATTTCCATTATCGATGGGAGTTGGGAAATGCAACGTCGGTCATGACCTTCCCGCTAAATTGGAGCACGTGCATGTAAATTTTGGTGCAAATTCATCGAAAATTGCGGCTGTGCATTCGTCACACACACACACACACACACACACACACACACCCTGCCTTTTATAGATAGAGATTGCGCAAAATAACTTTGGAAGAATTATGAATCCACCTCTTCTCCCCCAGCTATTGGTTAATTAGTAAGATTTTTATCAGTAAATCATTATTATTCCTAAAAATTCTTAACATCTAAAAATATGCTTTGGTTTTAAATAGTATGTAAAAGGTTGATAAGCCGTAAAAAACAAATCAGTCGACCAATCTAGGTTGCTGTCAGAGAATCAGCATCGTGGAAAATATTTTTTAAAATACGCAACTCGTAATTCAATTAGTTTTATCATAAAGGAGATAAAAGCAAATGTCAGTTAAATTGATGTAAATATTATTTGCCAAAAATGTAATCATCTTCATTTTCATCGACTGCAGCACACCGGGAAATTTCGATTCCACGTTTGATGAAATTTGGGTTTTCCTGGAAAAAAATATTTGAAAAACCGTTTTCAACTTCTTTATTTCTGAATGTTCTGCTACTTATGAAATGTTCCAGGGATTGAAATAAATGGTAATCTGTCGGAACTAAATTAAGTGTGTATGAAGGATGTGGAAGAAAGCCCCCATCTTAACGCTCTTAATTTTTATTGCGTTTGTTTGGCAAAGTGCGCCTTTGGATTGCTAGGTTGGAGAATAAAACGTTTCCTATTTACATTATTCGGACTATTGTCCTCATCTTTGTTGCCATATTTATCACAACTTTTCGGCCATTGTAGGACCCAAAAGGTTGTGAGTTGAATATCTGGTTAAAGCAGTGGAGAACTTGGAGAGATGAATTAACAGGAGATAACTGATAACTGACATCCATTAGACATGGCAAGGGGAACTAGAACAGTCTACCTCAGCGAGTGAAATAAAGGGTTCAGTTCGATATTCCAACCACCTGAAGAAGGTCGTGGTGTACAACGGCCGGAATGTTGTGATAAATATGACAACAAAGATGGGGACAATAGTTCGAATAATGTAAACAGTGTGCATAATTCCTCGTCTCAGAAATATAGACAGAAGACTTTTTCTGTCAAATTGCTGGCAATAAACGCCTGCAGTAACGGCCTTCCATGTTCCACTCGTTCGTAATGGACGACATCTTTTATATTTCACCAGACACAAAGAAAGGATTCTACGGATTCAATTTTGATGTTGGTGTTGACATTGATTTCTCATTTTGTGACAATCACTGTCTTTTTCCGTCTTCTGTTAACATGAAAACCCATTTTATATCACCTGTACCCATTTTATATCACCTGTACCAATTTTATATCACCTGTACCCATTTTATATCACCTGTACCAATTTTATATCACCTGTACCAATGCGATGCAAAAACGATAGGTTAACATTCCTGGTTAAAAGTCCGATTCAGATGGTGGAACGTTCTGTTCGGTTCTCAAGCAAAACCTGATGCGGAATCCAAATTTATTCTTGTCAAATCTCCTCTGAAATTTACTATAAACGAAACCCTGTCGAATGGAAGAGACGATAAACTAATTCTAGATGCAGTTTCCTTCCATTCAACATAGCTTCTGCCTTGGTAGGTTGACTCATAATTCATCATTTCGTTCCGAACACCTTAATAGAAGAGACGATGAATTAATTCTAGACGCAATTTCCTACAATTCAACCGTAGTTCTGCCTTCGGTTGTTCTAATCATATTTCATAGCAGAGAAATACGTGATTACTTTCTTCACACCCTTATATAATCCAACAAATGGGCCTGTTTATCACTCCTCATCGAGAATCTATCTCTCGCTTCTTTTTCATGATATTGATCATTGCTTAGTATAGAACTAGACAAAATATGGACAGCTTAAATAGAAAGTGTTGCCCCGGTATTTTTAATCATAGTCTGTATTGAAAATCTTCGTCTGAGTTTCTGGCTTTTACCGGGATTGGAACGCCGACCATTAGAAATCAGTGGGGGAGGGACAATTCTCTCAGCAATGAGATAGGCCACTACCCTCCTGTAATTCTGATCAGGTATTCGAGAAAGCAATACTCACTCCCGCTGGCCGTCTTGTTGTAATTAAAGAATCACGTTTTGCCAACGTATAATCATTGAATTTCTTGCAAGAATAATTTACGAAGAGAATTCTAAAGTGGATAAAAAGTTTGCTCATTTGACCCTGAGGCAAATTCTTGATGCACTGAATTTTTTAGGCCTTCATTCAAATACAGAACGATTTCGTTTTTGTTTTTTGTTTTTTTCATTATTATCAATTTTGTTCGTTTGATATTTGCGTTTTGTAAATGTAATTAAACCTGCGAGAAAATGGCGTTATCATACACTGATTTATTCGAAATGGTGTCACAATGTTTCAGCTGTTGCGCGATCTAATTTTTTTCAAACGTCTGTCGTATTCAATAACTTTCTGGGAATTTCAAACCGATCTCTTTATTCAATCCTGTGGGAAAGGCTGCAATCATTTCGCTAACCGTTCAGACCAAAAGAAAACAACGTTTTTATATCATATATTCTATGTACATTAATTCAATCTGGTGGCTAAAATAGTTTCGCTTTCACTACCGGTAACAGTGGTCAGCGTTCGAATCCAAGTAAAAGCCAGTAACTGAAACACTGATTTTCAAAACAGGCCGACTGTAATCTCTAGGAAGTCTTGTTCAATGCAATCTCCTTATTTACAATGAAGTCTGCTTGATGGCTGGAGTAGTAGAAATTTTCTTACTGAATAAGGAGATTGGTGCAGCACAATCTTTCTATCTCCCATTTTTCTTATTTGGCTGTGCCAGATTAATTTAAGATTAGTAACTATCTATACACTGCATGTAACATTAAATTATAGTGATATGACACTAAAATCACATAGAACCTGTTATTATTATACGCATATAACATTCTTAAAATATTTGCCTCATTAATATTGAATATAATACCTTTCTAGACAGTGGCCAAGCTTCAGATAAGCTTTTTTCTTGATATGTTGTTTTTATTTGCGTATTTACTGTGGTACTGTAATCGATGTTAAGTTGGTTGGTGGGTTGATTTTGGTTAATTGCATATCAACACCTTTATGGGTTATTTAATGACGAGATCCAAATATTTTGAACACAATTTTATGGCTCCAACTAAATATATTTTGAACGCAAATATATGCCTCCAATTACAGATAAAATGTATTGTCAGTTATCTTACTATAAAATATATTGCTGGTCATTTTCCTTTAAAAATGTATTGTTGGTCATTTTACTATAAATAGAATTTTAATGACAATAAAATGTTACTAGAGGCGGTGATATATGCGTTATATGTAGAAGTTTTGTTGAATTTATATTTTGGAATACAATTTAATTTCTTTAAGAAATTGTATGATATTATATGGATTAATGCCATGAAGGAGTTCTTTCATGTTGGTTCGTTGATTTTGTTTAGTGGCTTGTCAATACCTCATTTAATGCCGAAATCTAAATATTTTGAACAATTTTATGGCTTCAACGGAATTGAATTACTTCAACTATAGATATTGTGTACAGAATAATCGTATGTTTTATATATATATATATATATATATATATATATATATATATATATATATATATATATATATATGTGTATGTGTGTATGTATGTATATTATGTATATATATATATATATGTATATATATATATATGTATATATATATGTATATATATATGTATATATATATATGTATATATGTATATATATATATATATATATATATATATATATATATATATATATATATATATATATATATATATATATATATATGATAAATATATATGCAATATATGTATACAATTTACAAATTCATGAATTATTCACACAAAAAACAAATTCATGAATTATATATATATATATATATATATATATATATATATATATATATATATATATTTATATATATTCGCATTCAGAAAATATTTTTTATTTAGAGGAATTTCAGAAAATTTCTAAATTCACCTTTAGTGTTTAGGCATAAATTCAGATTTTTAGTGTATATATATATATATATATATATATATATATATATATATATATATATATATATATATATATATATATATATATATGGTATGTATATGATCCGTTGCAGGTGCTATGTGTTGAATAAACCTATTTTTTAAGGTAGGATTATGTTGATAGTTTCAGCATTTTCAAAAAGTCTTCTTGACTTGGTT